ATGCCATACAGATACGGGTGTAATAGACCAAGTAATAGAATAGAAATAAATTAGTGAAACGGAGAATAAAAAAAAAAATGAAATATCAATCCCCTAAAAATAGATACCCAAACTTTAGCTCTGTTAACCAAAGATGCAAAGAGACGTTCACAGCGGTAAATAAATGGAGCATGAAGATTTTGGAAAGAGGATTAATGACAGTTTCAAGAGAATAATGCAGCAAACTCAGGGAGGAGGTGAGTAAATCTACCAGGGAGGAATTTGTGAAAAATGAAGGTGTACAAGAGGATGATGGTAGGATGTTGGCGACGGGGTGATGAAGTGTGAGAGAGGCGGAGAGAATAGTTTTTGGAGGTGATGGCGGGAGGTGATGGAGTAAAAGAGAGAGAGAGAGAGAGAGAGAGAGAGAGAGAGAGAGAGAGAGAGAGAGAGAGAGAGAGAAAAAAAAAGAGAATAGCTTTTGGAAGTAGCGGAGATGATAGAGTAAAAGAAAGAGAGATTTAAATGAAAGAAAAAAATACTAGGAAACCAAAATAAAAGTGTGAACAATTTAAACATTATAAAATCTAAATAAAATGTAAATAATGAATAATGAAGAACATGGAACAATGAATAAATGGATCACCATAACACCCGCAATAATAATACGTAAAAAAACGGAACGGATAATTCAAAGAGAAGAAAATTAATTCATGAACAAAACAAAACATAGATTGATACACCCATAAGAAAAAAAAAAGGTGAAGGAGTTTATGTATACAAAAGATTACAAGACTATAACAAAAATACTTCAAAATAAAAGAAAAACAATAAATCTAACAATAAAATGGAGATATCAAAATACGCTGGACAGTGAAGGGAGAGAGAGAGGGATTGTTAAAATAAACGGTATGCGAGATAGAAGGATTTAGGGACGAAAGAGAATACTATGAAAAAAAAAAACCTGGAACATAGTGGATTTAGGGACGAAACACAATATAAAAAAAAACTTGGAACATAGAAGATTTTAAGAAACGAAGAAAAGTTTTACGTGTTGGGCCTATAGCTTGTAAAGGATACACTATTTTGGTATGTCTTATTTTCCTCCTCTAACTTCTAAACAGTGCATACATTTGTTTAGTTAAGATAAAGTCCTGGTGAAATTTTGCTGTCACGAAGAAAATTTAGCGTACGGAGCTCTAGAAGTCGCGCGCGCGCACACACACGCACACACACGCACATACATATGGATAGTTATACAATCTCTCTCTTAAGTATACACATAAGAGGTTATTTATTTAAAAAGCTATTTTCCGTATAACCAAATGAATTTAATAGGATGAAAGACACGAGTAGAAAACAAAATTGTCAGAACTTTGGCTTCACTAAAACTAATATACAAGCTGTACCTTTCTATTTGTTCTCTGAATTCAGTATTAAAACATGGACTGTATTTCCACGAATTTCAGGCAATTAAATAAACTATATAGGTATTTGGAATTTGTCGATATTTTATAAATATAATATATCCGTATAGAATTACGATATATATTACAAATTAAATATACAGTTATATATAGACTTTTCGTTAAGAATGTAATCTATACTTAGCCTGTCATCCTGAGCACTCCGATTACCGTGATGGATATATCAGCTTGGCCGTCCAAATTCTCGTTTGTGTTCCAAAGTTCAGGAACTATTTGTTTTTTACAATAATTCCAATCAGATAATTTAAACACCGTAACGATTAGTCAATTGAGTAACTTCGATAATTTTCTTCATGTTAAGGATTTACACAAATAATAAAGTAATGAACGTTGCAGATAAGTTTAATGCCTTGTAAATAAATGTGTTTTATATCTTGCCTGCTATTCGTTAAACGGTAGAAAATTTTAGGAAAATATAGATTATAAAGAAAATTAGTTTTCATGTGATGGTAAACATTTAGCAATTTCTGGTGTTTTTGGAAAATTATGACGGATGATGGTATACGTTGTTAGTTTCACAGCCTTCTTTTGTTCTCTTGGTTATCATGAAAGAAAATTTGGATTTTTTCTTTATTCAATGTTAAAACTGTTTTCCTTTCCGGATATTTCACAAAGAACTATACTGTAGAGATAAGGTTAATCTTATAAACTCCAAAACAAAAGTTTGTTTTTCTTAACATTAAGTTTAACTCAGGAATTTTCTGATAATCTAATTGTTCAGTTTCCTTTCATAATGATTTTGTTTTTCAATTCCCAAGTCCTTAGCTCCTTAACAGTCGTCTTAATGCAGTAGGAACATTTTTACAATAGTTTCTATACAACTTTTCTCAGATGTATTCTTCTCCCACCTTCCGCCCCTTAAGACAAACAATAAAGCCTGTACTAAATTAGATAACATAAGATTTTTCCCTAAGAAGTTAAGGATAAAAAATTGTTCACTCAAGACATAAAAGCATTTTATTGTGTGTGATAAAACCATCATGAACCAGATGCATGACTGGAAAACAGTAGCACAAACATTATTTACAATATAGTACACACTGGGCAGTTTTCTGGGGTCTCACCTTCAGTTGAGATACTGTATATCAGGAGCTAATATAAAAATACTTTATGTTCGTCCTAACTGGTATTGAAATGGGTATAGTATTATGAGAATAACTCCTACCACCTCTAGAAAAATTTGCCGATGGGAAGGCCTCATGAACAAGATTTAGACAAGAAATGACAGTGCAAGGAATTAGAATACAAATTTAATCCATCGTTTGAAAAGTATATATACTATATATATACTTGTATATATATAAATATATATATATATATATATATATATATATATATATATATATATATATATATATATATATATATATATATATATATATATATATATATATATATATATATATATATATATATATATATAAAGGGTGTCCCAGAAAAACGTCCCTGCTTTCCTCCCTCCCTCCAACTCACAGTCTCTCAGGGAGCAGGCAGGGGCAGGCAGGGAGGGAGGGAGGGAGGGACATTTTTCTGGGACACCCTTTATATATATTATTTCGAATATATAGCTACACAAAATATTCAACATATCATATATTTGTACACACAGACAAAACATTCTTAATTATATATATATATATATATATATATATATATATATATATATATATATATATATATATATATATATATATATATATATATATATATATATATATATATATATATATATATATATAGAATCATGGTATCTCTCCTTTCAGTCAGTATGAAAATTCAGGAATTGAGAACTGCACATTAATTGGGACAAGAAGAAATTAAATGTTCGGAATAACTTGCAGGTTTATTACACATGAACGGTGGGTGGGTGGGTGGGTGGGTAGGGTGTGCTAGTAAAAAGGATGAATGAATCTTGGTGATCATATGCATGGGGGAACCTGTTTATGAGCGTCGGTTCATCACAGGTACACGTAACCACCTGCAGGAGCAACTTAGAGGGAGGGCTCGAGTAGGGGCACCATGGGTTCTTCTCCACCCACTCTGCCTGTCCACACACACAGACAGTTAGCTCATTGTTCACCCATGGCTCTCACCCTCACACAAGTCACTGTAGTAAAAAATTGGAAAACTCATCACTCGTAAAGGTGTTGTTGCACTCTGTGTCTGTCAGAGTGTGTGACGTTTCACATTCAGGTTACATATACAGTCTAATTATCAGTCTTAAAGTGTCACTATGATATGAAGGGCCGGTTGTGTCTCCCAGCCCAGGAACTTCATAATAGTACAGTATAAGTGTTTACTGATCACGCTCACCACTTACACTGTCCATTCCTTTCAGGTTTCAGTATATGATACTTTTCATATTATTTCTATCTTTGTTTTTAATATTGGTTCCTAATTTTCACATCCAACTTTTCCAATCCACATGAAATATGTTTTTGGAATAGTAATATTATTATGCACTGAAAAAAAATTTTGATCATAATTTGCCTCCTGGAGGTATTTTAGCCATCTTCTTACATCTAATGGCTGTAAGAATATCCCCATTGGCATAATACAACTTCTGAAATGCCATACACCTTATAAGTTAATCAACAGGTGAGTTTTACAAGGAATGTATCTGATGCTAATTATAATTTTTGATGATAATAATTTCTTGGTACAGTAGTAATATATCACAGGGAAACTAAAATTGTCTATTTGTCCACATTAGAGTGAGATTCTCTGAACATCAGGGTAAGGTCAGGTTAGGTTAGGCTAGTTTGGGTTTTGACGGTAGTCAGTGTTATTATTACCACACACACACACGTGTATATATATATATATATATATATATATATATATATATATATATATATATATATATATATATATATATATATATATATATATATATATATATATTATATACCGCCGTGTGTGTATGTAAAAATAGTTAAGACGTGTTTCCTTTCTGTGTTTGTATTGGAATGTTGAAGATAATTTGTGATTGTTTTAAATAGTTTATTTGCGCTGGGGACAAGAGGTTGTACTTGTCAGAGACTCACATCGGTCAAGTTGAACAGAAAGGGTAAAAGTTGTAAGACTTTTACTTCAAGATATATAGATTTATTATTGTAAGTTCCAAATTCACCATACTAATTGGCCTCTTAAATTCCTGAGTGACGTCATATCCTAAATGCATGGCATTTCACAAAATAATCAGTTATTATTGTGAGCGTTCAGCCTACTCAGAAACTTGCACAATGTGGCTGCGTAAAAGTTCTCAAAACAAACTGCCACTACACAGGATAAGTTGCCAAGTATTAAATTGATTCAAAACTCAACAACACAATAAACCACGAGCAGTTCAGAACATATCCATTTGCATTATTAAAAAAAAAGCCCGCAAAATCCCTCTAGAAATGAAAAAATAAATATTTTCAATCTCTCTCTCTCTCTCTCTCTCTCTCTCTCTCTCTCTCTCTCTCTATATATATATATATATATATATATATATATATATATATATATATATATATATATATATATATATATATGTAAAATATGCAAATAAAGCCAAGTTCATTGTCTTTTATCTCAAGAGAATACAGAAGACTTTTATATGGTACATTGTATACCAAGGAAGTCCAACATTGTTACCCTTAACCCACTATAGGTCCCGTTTCCTCATGATCGAGTGACCAGCAGGATAGGTGTACAGTTTCGGGACCCGTCTTAAACGTGCGCCATCAAATTTCCATATATAAAAAAAAATTACAGGAGGGTTTTATCCATTGTGCTCTAATTCTGTCGTCAGTAAAGACTGGTTCCAGTTATGCAAAGCAGTCCTCCCTTACAGTTACGTATCCCTCTGGTCCAGGAGGTTCTTCAACAGTAACTGGTCCTGGTGGCCACGTTCAGTATCAATTGACCCTCTAGTCCAGGCCAGTTATTGAAGCTTTTCGTCCAGCCGCTCCTCCAGCATCTCCTAGTTCCCCTGATTCAGCAAGTTCCTCAGCAGTTGTTGGTCCCTTTGGTCAAGATGAGCCATCAGGACCTACTAGTTCCTATTGGTCCAAGTTGTCCTTCGGCAATTACTGACCTTTGTGGCCAAGACCAAGTTGTCGGATACAATATATATTCAGCAACAATTTATAAACTCTCACACCAATAAACAGTTAGCGGTCCTTGTGGTCCATAATGGCCTTCAGTTTCAGCAGCCACTGGTCTTTTGCAGACAGCACTGGTCTTCAGCGACTGTTGCCCCCAGTGGGCCACAATGGTCTTCACCAGTCACTAGTCGCGGTGTTCCACACAGGATTGCAGCAATCGAACCCGGTGGTCAGGACAGGTCTTAAGCAACCAATGTCCCAGTGGTTTATAATTGCCTTTTGTAGTAACAGGTCTGTGTGGTACAGGCCAAACTATAACAACCACTGGATAGCGCGATGCGTGGTCCAGGCGGAGGCTTCAGCACCCACTGGTCCCTATAGTGTAGGCCGGCCCTCACAACACACTCACACCTTCGTTACTCCGAGGTCCAGGTGTCTGCGCTCTGTCCTTTCCGACGTTTTCAGGGACAAGAGTCACATGCAGAAGATGGGAGGAGGAGGTGGAAGGCGTGTTGATGAGTCCAGTTGTACTCATCATGCTGGGCACGCCACCCATACCTCCCATGCCACCCATGCCCATCGCTCCTAGGTTAGTTACACCACCCATGCCTCCCACGCCACCAACGGGGACGCCGGTGCGGAAACTGGAACAGGACGTGCTGAGTGTGGAGCCCAGCGGACGCAGTCCTGGAGAAAAGACAATGTCAGAAACATAATCATATTACGCACACACACACACACACACACACACACACACACACACACACAGCCAAAGAGATCACATTTATAACAAAGCTGATAAAGAGATCGTTAATGAGAAAACAAGATCTGTAATTCTGCGACGACAAAACACAAATTTTAAAATAAAATACCCCCTACCCCCACACATACACAACGCCACGCTCCTTTAAAACAAACCTATAGACACCACAAGGCGTCAGGAATACCACACCAAGCGACCCTGCACCACGACCCACCTTCTAGCACGATGTGTCTGCCGGGGTCCTCACCCAGCTGTTGTACCCCTAGGATGGGCAGCGTCGTGCTACCGCCTCGGAAACTCTCCAGCATCTCCCCCTGAAGGTTAAAGACACACATTCTTATTCATATCGTGGTACATTTTTTTTTTATAATACTATAAGTCGCTTAGAATTATAGTTCCCGACACACACACACACACACACACACACACACACACACACACACACACACACACACACACACACACACACACACACACACACTGTATACTCTAATTAGTGGAATATAAACTGCCTCAAGCATGTTTCCTGTATTCTAATGGAAATTATGAAATTGTCTCTGGGGAAGAAAATTTTTTGTTTTATACGGCTTGAGTACACATCAAAATAGACCAGAAGGAAAAAAGAGACGAAGAAAAGATTAAAGAGAAGGAATAATTACAGTCTTGGTAAATGGACCAAGTACAAAGATAATGCAAAGGATTAGAAACATGACGTTCAATTACAAATAAAATGTGTAAAAAAAAAAATATGAGCAAAACATCACCCAACATACAGACCTTTGCCTTTACACAGTCTGGGATTTTGAAGACGTGTAGAATTTTGAGAATGTAGAAAAAGTGTATAGAAACAGTTAATATATCAGAGAACAAGACAAGTGAAATTAGGCGAGAATAATGGAAGATTCAACGTTACAGTAATAATCAGAAAGAGTTAATAAGTCAAAGAACAAGACAAGTGAAATGAGGTGATAATAATGGAAGAATCAACGTTACAGTAATGATTGATGAGAAGAGTGACTGAAAAAGTTGAAAGGAAAAAAGAGAAGATGATTCCTTTGGGATCAGAGTAGACATAGACGTTGACATAGACGGTAAATTATTATCACTGTGCCTCAAACAAGTGAAGTCTTAAAGCGAGAAAAAAAAAGAGTAATTACACTACTCCTCAATTGACAGTTAAAAGAGATATACAACTTTTTGCATGGGTGGAGAGAAGTACGGGAGTGAGTAGGCTGATGGGCTGTTGATATGGACTGGATGCTGGGGGATGGTAAATTTGTCAAAGTGATAAGTGAATAGATAGATAGATAGATAGAAAGACCGATTAGATAGATAGATAGATAGATAGATAGATAGATAGATTGACAGTTTGATAGATAGATAGTTTGATAGATAGATAGATAGATAGATAGATAGATTATGCAGTGATAAATGTTAGGGAGGTTATAGAAAATAAAAGAAATTATTTTTATTAAATACTGTAGGAATCGCCTATTGACTAACTCTTGATACACACACACACACACACACACACACACACACACACGAGTACACACTTGAGAAAAGAACTCCACAAAGAAGAAGAAGAAGAAGATAATAATTTAGCCATTCATTAACTTTCCCACGTTAAGAGTCACAAAGTTATATACGCTCCACCACTTTGTGATATTAACTGGATACTGTTATTGATATTTAGTGTTCTCGTCCAACAAATATTAGAAATCCTATTACAATATAGATGTTTGTAAAATATTAACGCCTCCACTCTACCTTCATGTAACATACAAACAGATTTTCTATTGGTCTATAAAACATTCTGCTGAGATACCCAATCTTCTTGTAATTCTTGTCATGGGCTGAGCCAAGTACTACTTACTGTAGGACCACTCAAAAAAACGAGAAGTCTTTGAGGAGTACTCTTCACTAGCGGCTGAGTGGATACAGCTCTCGTGTCCTAAGTGTTGCCGGTTCGTGCCTGGAGTATCCTAATTTACTCATCAATTAATGCGTCTATATCTTTAAAATTGGGGAAGTGAAAGCGGTCGAGTACAGTGCCAATCACGCTGCCTCCTTGTGTACTGAAGAAAGTTTAGTATGCAGTGTGTTGTATCTGCGCTGCTTCTAACGGATTGTCAGGCCTACGGGGCCAACTGCTACCGGGATTTTCTCATTAGATTATTGGACATCCCCTATTGGCTACCGAACATTCCTTTCCGGCTATCGGGCATTTTTTTTTACTATGAACCGGCCATTCATCACCACTTATCGAAATTCTTTTCCTGGCATTAAAAATTCCTTCCCCATCTACCAGAATTCCCTCACTGGCTACCAGAATGTCCTCACCGACTACCGGCATTTCTTCACCGGCCACCAGGCGGTCACTTACCGGTTTACTTCGTGTACCCAGGAGGGAATCTCTGGAGGTGGTGGTAAGGAGGTCGCCATTACAGGAGCCGAAGGAACCATCATCCACGGCACTCACCATCCCTACCACACCACCGACGCCCACCACACGCCCGACGCCGCCCATCATGACGCCTCCGCCACCACTGCTAATGATGCCACCGCCGCCGCTGATGCCACCGCCGCCGCTGATGCCACCTCCACCGCCACCAACACCACTACCTCCTGCCGCCTCACTACCGCTCCCGCCTCCACCACCACCACCGATGGTGCCCGTACTGCTGCCTGGCGTCTCCGTCGTGTCGGCACCTTTTCTGCTTGAACCTGCAGGAGGGAGTGAAAAGGTTATTTAATAGTAAGCACTGAAGAAAAGATATACTGAAGAACAAAAGACAAAAGAAAGAGAGAAGGAGATAAGAATGGAGAAAACAAGAAACAAAGGTGGAGGAAATAACGAAAGCATGATGAGAAAGAAAAAGAAAGAAAATGAAAAAAGAAAAAATAATAAATAAGGGAAACAGAACAAAAACAACAATGAGATACAAGTAAAAACAATTAGATATACGACATATAACTATATAATCACAACAGGTAACATCTGATACACCTGACCTAAGAACTCACTCACGCCAGGGGACGATCTGATCACCTGACCCTGAACTTTCTCCTTCAGAAATCGATAGAATGACTGTGTGTGTGTGTGTGTGTGTGTGTGTGTGTGTGTGTGTGTGTGATGGTTATAACTTTATGCCGACTCTAAACTCGTTGCGGTCATGCATTACTGAGTTACTGGGTTGTCAGACAGACGGAGAAACAGACAGATTAAATGTTATACCGTTTTCCTGACGTTGGTGTGGAATAATAAAAAAAAAATCTGAGAAGCTTTTTTTTTTGGTCGCTCAATGGATGGAGAGAAGGTGAGAGGGGAGGAGGGGAGGGAGGGGAGGGAGGGAGGTGAGGTGAGGTGGGGAGGGAGGGGAAATAATTGTCTCTAAGATCATATATTTATGTTTATCTGAAAAAAAAAAAAAAAATATTTGTTCGCTTGGTCATATACTTCAGCCACACTACTAAATCGGTAACCACAAACATCAGAAGTAGACGAACAAATACTCGATCAGATCTTGCTAAGGTTTCTGATCATAGTGTCTGGAGGGTTTGAGTCTTTGACCTTTAAACTTATTTCAGCTTAGGTATGTAAAGGTCAACCCTTGTTATCACTCCGGTATTGCGAACACACTTCATTTCGACTTGCTGCTCTGGGAGAAAGACGAAAAATTTAAACTATTTGATACCATGAATTACCTATCCTGTCACCATCTTGAACTATAAGAAAAGTATTAATATTTTCTTATGGTTGATTAATTTGATATTAATAGAGTTGTATCAACATAAAGTACCTGGACATCTGGCAGTAATTTAAACAGACCGTCATGTAAAAGTCATTGTGATATATTGAGTCATTGTGAGTTATTGTGTTATTGTGAGTTATTGTGTTATTGTGAGTTATTGTGTTATTGTGAGTTATTGTGTTATTGTGAGGTATTGTGTTATTGTGAGTTAATGTGTTATTGTGAGTTATTGTGTTATTGTGAGTTATTGTGTCATTGTGAGTTATTGTGTCATTGTGAGTTATTGTGTTATTGTGAGTTATTGTGTTATTGTGAGCTATTGTGTTATTGTGAGGTATTGTGTCATTGTGAGTTATTGTGTTATTGTGAGGTATTATGAATCACTGTAAGTTACCTTATAGGGGAGGATAGGGGAGAGGTGTGAGGGAATATAGAGTTTGACGTGCATGGAAATAGACGGATATATGTGTGTGTGTTTTGTAGAGAGGGTGAGGGGGAAAGGAAAGCGGTGTGTGTGTGTGTGCGTGTGCGTGTGCGTGTGCGTGTGCGTGTGTGTGTGTGTGTGTGTGTGTGTGCGCATTTTCTGCGAAGCAACACGATACGATAATCAAAGCATACAGGTATTCATGATGACTACCACACTTCCAAGGATATAAAACACACACACACACACACACACACACACACACACACACACACACACACACACACACACACACACACACACACACACACACAAACAAACTTCCTCGTCTGCACCAACGAATCTCATGACAAATGAATCATAAACATAAGAAGCCCTTGACAACAGACCAGCATGCACAGACCTTCTCAGAACACTTCGTGACTTCCCCCCTCCCACGTATAAAAAACATCTCGCGGTTGACGTTCTCATCACGACATCTTGGCACTGATGGAAAAGTTAATTCTACTAACTGTTGATGTGGGCTCAATCATTCACCGGCACCTTAGATACATGTAATGGTTTTGGTAATGTCAGTAAGGCAAACGATGTCATACTGGACCAAAATAGTTGAATCTCATCCCCCAAATATGACAAAAGGCGTGACCTGGTTCACCAAAACAGTCGAACTTTACTCCTAGGTCGCCTGTGGTGCCAGCTGTGAGAGGGAAGTCCTACCTGCTAGTAGATCGATATCCAGCCAGACTCATCACACAGTCACGGTGAAGTGGGTGACGGTGTTATGGCCAGAACCCAGACACGTACTGTACCTGCCTTGCACCCAATGCTCTCTCTCTCTCTCCCCTTCAGCCTCAGAAGGTCAACGCCGACGAGGAAACATGACTTAAAGCTAAACTCACCACACTGTGTCTAGGCAGCACAAGGTCACACAGGCAAACCCCCACACTAAGGATGATCATTTCCCCCTAAACTAATGTGAAAAAAAATCTCACTGGATAAATTCTCACCATAGGAATACCCATCGAAGAAAAAATATATTTGGACTAATTCTGTTTGTAAACACCTAGCCAGTAAAATGACAAAATCGACAGAAATCCCACCAGTTCATCTATTCCCCAATATCCTGCTCGTTTAGGTAAGATAGCTTAGTTTAAGTTACGCTAGGTTAGGTTAGGTTAGGTTAGGTTAGGTTAGGTTAAGTTAAGTTAAGTACAATCTTATCATAAAACCGAGTAGAGCTTTGATAAAGAATTACAGACCAGCTCACATGTTGTACTGTACCTCAGCACACATACGGCAGAGTTCAGTACAATTACACACGCACAATATACTTAATCTCTATACATTACAGCTCTGTGTAATTCCAGAGTTAAAAGTTTTACCTGAACGTGCAATTTTAGGCCATGGCACACGTGTTTAGTGCAGATGGAAGTTAAAGTTTACGCAGATAATATCACATGTTATTAATCCTTACACAAATGGTCCAGTGAGAGTTGCATGATATTTAGTATGATTTTAGACGCTTGTAAATGTTATCGTTCTGGTAGTGTATGTATAAAAATTATACCTTTACATTCGAAGCTAATCTATAGCAAAAACCTAACCTAACCGTGCTACATTAAGCATGGGAACTTGGCTTCTGTACCAATTCCCCCAAAATTAACATTATCCCGAAAACTTACATATTAAACATCGTTAAATTTCAGTGACCCCCCCAAAAAAAAGTAACCTTGGCCAGAAATATTCATTGATCATGCTTTCTTACGTTGTATGTGGTATATGAAAGCAAGATGTATGTTCGCGTGAGTCCGACCATAATTCACTTCGATCCTCGTGACAACAAACAAAATCTAGTTTCTTGCTTGACACGACGAAGCCAATATTTTGTGTGTGTGTGTGTGTGTGTGTGTGTGTGTGTGTGTCTCATTAATACTATGCTATTTAAGTTATTATATGAGTTATGTATAAAGTAATTACAGGTACACGTGTATTTTATATTGTGCAGTAGTAAAGTAATATAGACGGAGGAAAGAGGTGCAGGTTGTGGAGAGAGTTGGTTGGTTGTAAGGCAGCAGCAGGACGGCAAGAGAGAAACGTAGAGACTCAAGAAAGAAAAGAATTAAAATTAACATTACGACTCAAGAACGAAAAGAGGTAAAGATGGTAATTACTAATGAACGTTGAGGAGTTAAAGTTTCGTAACAAAAAAAGTGGAAGAAATAATAAAAATCAAATCAGAACAATACCGAAATTTAATCTAAGTCAAGAGGCAAAGCTGAGATGTGTGGAAAAGGTAAGAGACAACATTAGAAGCAACGGCAATAGATCGAGGCAAATTGTAGCCGAGAAGAACACGAGTTGGAAAAATTTATGAAGACGTAGAGGCCAATGCGTTTCCTGGAGCCGTGCCGGGGAGGAGGAGACTCTGCTTTAAGACGTGGGAACTTCCTCCAGCTGCCGAGTAGTTGAATATAAGAGGGTAGATTTTGTAACATTTAATGGTTTTATGGATTAAATAATGGATTTATTGGAGATTTTTTTCGTGATATAGATATTTATTTTTTGTATTTTTTATATCACACAATTTGTATTTTCCTTCAATATAAAAATAGGTTTGTGTGTGTGTGTGTGTGTGTGTGTGTGTGTGTGTGTGTGTGTGTGTGTGTGTGTGTGTGTGTGTGTGTGTGTGTGTGTGTGTGTGTGTGTGTGTGTGTGTGTGTGTGTGTGTGTGTGTGTGTGTAAAGTGACCAAAGTATTAAATAATCACACTCCATGATCCTTTCCCAAATCATATCAATTACTATCAATAAATTAAGTCATGTTACCTAAATGAGAATAGTTTTATTAAAAGTAAGTTTTGACGGACGAAACGTGAATCATTTGAATAATGATTGTGTTCTGGCCAGAAATTGGAAGAAGTTTCTTAACTTTTTTAATATTTCAACCCAACTATCTCCCTTCATAGCTCAATTGTCATTAGTCATTATAGCTTCCAGGATTTTTTTTTTTACCAAAGCAAGAACACTATTTCCCTCCTGGTGATTATTCACAAAAATGTCGTCAATGTAAAGATTTTTTTAGAATGATCTTGGTAATTTAGGTTTGTTGATGTGTGTGAGTGTATGACAGACGATGTAGAGCGTCAAGTTCTCTCAAGTGCCACAGCAAACTGACCTTATCACTATTATATAAGTTTACCCTCATACTTCTGCGTTACCTTTTCTCTATAGTAAATATCTATCTATCTATCTATCTATCTATCTATCTATCTATCTATCTATCTATCTATAAGAATTACAGTGACTGAGTTGATAGAGCGTTTGCCTCCTGTCTTAAGGGTGTCAGGAAGAATGTCGAGAATCCCTGAATGGAACCAATTGTAAATGAGGCGACCGAGTGGAATTGTTGACATGGTACGACCTGTTTATATACCACACTGAGGGTAAACAACTTTATATGTATTCTCTCTCTTTAATAAGTGCCTTTAACTGCAGGTGTTTATTGGAGGCTCTAAGGTTGAATAAGTGTGTTACAGGATATACTACTTG